GACAGCTAACCTCTCGGTGTATAAGTGTGTCAGAGAGAGAGAGAGAAAGAGAGAAAGGGGGGGAGAGTGAGAGAGATAAAGGAAGATGGTGCTAGCTAGCGAGAGAGTGAAAGAGAAGGAGGAGTGACAGAAAGGGAAAGAAAAGAGGGAAGAAAGAGACTCATTAAACCAAGTTGCTCTCAGCACTCGTTCTGCAACACAGACTCTCTCTCTCTTTCTTTCTCTCTCTCACACACACCACACACACTCACTGTTAAACATAAAGCAGAAGTGGACACGAAGACACGCTTTCAGGCGCCGCGGTTGGCTATGGCTCAGGGCTCTGACAGCAATGACACAAGTTACAAGTCCCCATCACCTGGAAGCAGGCCGGTAAGTGTGCTCTTTATACTTTCTAAAACTTGTTTATATCAAATTAACTCTTGGGATGTATAGATTTCAAACTAATCCTGTGAATTCAACACTACATATTTCCCCCTAAATCTGTGAGTGGATGAATATTTAGTGAGCAGCAACACAGCCTAGGAGATACTTGTTCTGTCTTTTAAGGCTCTTTTCACAGTTTCCCAGAAGTGTTTCACAGGCACACATGGGCTGCAGGCATGACTCGCTTCAAGTGTAGGCTTTTATGAATCGCAAAATGCATCACTAGAACAAGTCGTGGGAATCCTTTGTTTTAGCAAGTCTCTCAAACTGTGAATGATGGGGCAGCTCTCAGGAACAGACAATGTGTTAAACATAGTGTGTGCTGTACGTTTCTCTGCACCTGACACTTGTTTCACATGGGCCAGTCTCTTTCACATTAATGTCTGTTTTCTTGCTCAAGCGCACTGAAATAAATCATTCAAAGGCAGTTTTTATGTAAGCTGGGACCCACTTTATGTTGATAAATCAAGCAGTTGTTGTGGGGTTTTAAGCATTTTGAGTAACTGACTTTCCAGTAGACGTTAAACAATAAAAGTTATCTCTTTGATGTGCAACTGACTCAGCGTTTTGCAATTGATTAGTTATTACGATACTAAGAAAATCGAGTGTTAGGGATACGAAACAGGGGTGTGTTATACTCAACCGAAGACTCAGCCACTCCCCAACCCGGCCCTTCACTTTAGGTGTAAAGTCTAGCCCATCTTCTGTCAAACTGTCATTTAAAACTGACGACATTTCCTGCTTGAACCCACCAGCGAGAGTCCTGCACGTCTTCACTTTCTCAGGTTTATGCTGTTGCCCACACATTAACACATTCACATTTTGTATTTGGTCAGAGTTCTTCAGATGATGTGAAGAAAGTGATGCGGAGAGAGAAGAACCGGATCGCTGCTCAGAAGAGCAGGATGAGGCAAACTCAGAAAGCTGACAACCTGCACTTGGTGAGGAGATGCTTCATACTCAACACTCTGAAACAACGCAATTTAGCATTGACTCCTACTTCTAAAGACATTTGTCAGAGACACAAGAAGAAACTGAGAAGACAGCACATGGTGTTGCTGTCAATTGTCTGAATCTTGATAAAGTTCTACACAGCAAAGATGGATACATAAGGTTACTTTCTAGCCCAAAAGCCATAATATTGTAGTAACTTGATTAATAGATTAAACACCCTGAACGATATTTAGCAGATACAGCTTCAGTTAGGGTATCCTTCAGAAATATGTTATGTTTGTGCAGCATGAGGGCTCTTCCAACAGCGCTTGTACTATATTTACGAATCGCTACCTGACCATGTGGCGATGTGTCATGGCTTCTGTTGGGCTGCACACTTGGACACTGTACTGTGTGTTTGCAGAAGCTTAAGGAATAAATTAGCACGTGTGGGCAATCACTGACAGAATCAGGCAGCAGAGATCACATTACAGCGCTGAATAAGATGACAGAAGGGTGTGCTTTGTTTGTTGCCCCCATTATCCTTTGATGAAGCTCATTGTGTGTGGTTCTTGGTAGTTAGTGTCAGCTGTTAATGGCACGATTTCTGGCAGAATGTATGGGGTTTAGTGTTTTGTTCAACGAAAACGTCCAAAAGACTTATTTCTCATCTAGATTTCAATCTTCAGATACTTGTGTGACACATATTACTCCTCCAGTAATGATGCAACTATCTCATGGATCTTTTACAACTTACGTGTTATGTTATCACATCTTACAACTGCACACATTTCACCATGCTTAACCCATATCCACTATCTGTGTGACTTCCTCGTTCAAGTCAAGGTCATTTGTGCTGTACTGTGCTCGGTAACCATGATGTTTTAGAAGCAACTTTTTATTTGAACTTCATCAGAAAGCTTTTAACCTTCAGAAAACCCAAAACTGTAGGCAGTAGTAGATCCAGAGATGTAAATGTATGAGAAACGTTCCCCTGAAGTATATCATCAATCTCTTTAAAGTGTGTCACAGAGAGAACACAGGGGGACCACAGAGTATATTCTGTGGTTTCTCTCTCATCGTCTCACTGGTAAACAGGAAGACACATTTTCCCTCTCTATGACACCGTGGCTTATTTCCTGTTTCTTCAGTAGTATTTATTTCTTCTGTGTAAACCTTGTGTCGTGGGCAGGAGGGGAGAAAAAGGCAGTCACTTCTTGTAAAGCGCTGACAGCAGTGGGCTGTATTTGGCTAAGTGACGAAAGAACAGGGGTTTGCCCAAAGGTGCTGTGACCGTAAGGACCCACAGCTTGGTATTATCATCTTTCGGCCATGGTGTGATGACCTTTTAATTTACCAAGTGGAAGATTTTCTCCCCTGCTATTCCCACGCACAAAATGTGGTTTTTTTCAATTGCTCGCGTATAGTTTGTTCTACTTATTTGCTCTTTGAAGATGATGATCAGACAGAAAGCTTGTTTTGGTAATACACATTTCAGACTGAGATAAGATGGTGGTGCTTAGTGAGCGGCAGACAGTTAACAAAGTGTTTGAATTAATAGGTATTCATACGTTTTTGAAGGTCAATCCACTTTTAAAACTTTCTTGTAATACTTTACGGTAAAGAAGCTAAGGCTGTAAATTTGGTTTTCATTCATTGAAGTATAGAAAAAAAAAAGGTTAAACAGGATAACATTTTGTTTTTCTCCCACTATGAAAATACTTGTATTACTTTAAAGTACAATGTGTAATGTATGCCATTGTTTGGGCATGTCTCAGACAATTTTAAATGACATTTTAGCCTACATTACTGCCAACTTTACCTTAAGAGTTACACATTTTTTAAATACATTTTCCCTTCAATAACTTTTCTTCACTAGGACAAATAAACAATATTCTTTCACTTGAAAAAAAACAGTACACATAATGTCTAGGTTTACAGTTTTTTACGAGTTATACTGCAGTAACAAGGGAATCGCAACCACAGGCATGCTAGCCGCTCTGTGAGGCCGACATTTGGTTAAGGCCAAAAGCCAGCCTGCTTAAATTGGCTATGCTAAGATGCTAATACTTACCTGGCATTGTGTTTATTAGGTTCAAACTTGCTTATCTAGGTCAAATATACTTTAATGTGTGGTTAAAGCCAAAACAGACAGAAGTAATTGTGTTTAAACAGGAAGTAATGCAGCAGATGATGCTTTTAGGTCATCCTATCTGACTTGTTCAAACCACTTATTAAAACCACATATATCCGTTATAATTGTTTCCACTCAAACATACTGTACCTGTGTGTTTACAGGAGAGTGAGAACCTGCAGAAGGAGAACGCCGCCCTGAAGAAGGAGGTGAAGCAGCTGACGGAGGAGGCCAAGTATCTGTCCTCAGTGCTGAGCAGCCATGAGCCCCTGTGCACCGGCCTGGCCCCTCAGACCCCCGAGCTCATCTACCCTGCTCCTCACCACAGCAGCTACCATCAGCACATCACTGTACCACACTACCAGCACTGACCTGACGGAGGACGTGCTGCCAACAGAAGACTGACCTCAATGGAGAGAGAGACTGACTGGAGAAGTGTCTTTAAGTGTTATTCATTGTTCAAAAAATTAACATTAACATGGCAGGCCATATTTATGTCGGACAAACAATGACAGTGTGGATCCCAAACTGTAACAAGCCGTGTTCAAAAATATTTATTTTGCTTGTGCTCATCTCTTTGCTTAAACCTGGTAAATATCGGTGATCTGATTGTTAACTGAAACGCCTCGATGTGTAGAATTATCAACCAGTATATGTTTACATTGGGAGTTTCTACTGTTTGCTCAGGTGACTCAGAAGACACAGTATTTTTGTAAATGTTTTTTGTCATCCTGTCATGTTTTGAGTTTCTCGTGTTTTTATAATGTGTGTAAATGTAGATTGTTAATGCTCAGGAGATTTTGACAGATTTGAATGTGGACAAAGAGAATGTAAAGTCGAGATCCTAAAAAAAAGGCTCTGATGTACCAACAAAAATTGTCTGGTAGTGAAGAATGGGCATTCTAAGCCTCTAAGGGTCTCAACATGTGTTTTGCTGATAATGCTGATGTGGGAGAAGACCCAGCAAAATATATTTATTAAATGTGATACCTTTTAGGTGAACAGTTCTGACCACTACAGGGTTGTTTTTATTGACTTCATGTAGTGTTTTTCTTATTTGAAACAGCAGGGTGTTTGAAGTCTGCACTGGTGCTGAAAATAATACAACTCGTGACCAAACCAAAATGTGTTGTTTCTCTAGGTGGCAGTGTTCACTAGTAGATCATGATATACAGCACAAAAGTACCCTTTATAACCTGCCCTGTGTGGTTATGAATTACGTTTTTTCCTTGAACACAACTAAGAGTTTAAAACTATTCCCCCTTTTATGAGTATTGTTACAAGGCAAGTGGACTACATTAAAACCTGATAGCTCTAGTGTTCTTAAACTTAAAAGCCCTTTAAAAAGTGTCATAATGGGCATGTTTTACAAACTCCCAGACAGGCATGATTTCACAGACGAAGTAGCTGACATGACCGTTGCAAACTGTAAGTGAGATTTCAGTGTTAAAACTACCAGTCGTTTTTAAACTCCGCCCTTGTGTCTGTGTTGACCCACGACCGGGTTTAAGTCCGGGTAGAGGGTCACAGCAAGCGCTCCTACACGTGTGACAACACGGTAAACCTCTTACTGAAAGAACAATATTCAGTCATTGAAAGTATCTGTAACTCTAATGTATTGAACGTGTACAGGGCATTAAGCTTAAACTCGACTACTGAGCTAACTTCAATCCCGGGGGAGGAAATGCCGCTCAAACTCGAGTTCTAGAGCCTTCACCATCCGATTATTGACCAGTTGGGAGATTTTAAACCTATGACTTTTTTTTAAGTGAAAATATAAAGTGATAGACCAATCTGTGCTTGGTGTTCGCCCATGAAACAGGGCGAAATCAGCCACTTTCAACTTAGTTTGCAGTGATTTAATATTTAGCAGACTAGTTTAATATGATTGAGAAACAAGCGATAGGAAACACCGAACAAAACGAGGATGAGACCAAGGCAGACCTTGTCAAACTGGAAGGAGGTGACGCGGTGCTGAACGCCGAAGACCCGGGTCAGCTGGACGGACATGGAGCCGTGCAGCCCACCCGGCTGTACAAACGACGCTGGATGATCGTCCTCCTGTTCAGCTCATATTCACTATGCAACTCTTTCCAATGGATACAGTACGGCATCATCAACAACATATTTATGAAGTTCTACAGCGTGGACGCCTTTACCATAGACTGGATGTCCATGATCTACATGCTGACATACATTCCCTTCATCTTCCCGGTGACCTGGCTGCTGGACAAAAAGGGGCTCCGGGTCATCGCGCTGGTGGCCACCGCGCTTAACTGTGCAGGCACATGGATCAAAGTGGCCAGCGTCAAACCCAACCTGTTCGCCGTCACCTTTCTGGGACAGTTCTGCTGCTCGTTTGCGCAGGTGTTCAGCCTCGGTATGCCCTCCATGATCGCCTCAGTGTGGTTCGGCTCAGAGGAAGTGTCCACCGCCTGCTCCATCGGAGTCTTCGGGAGTCAGGTAGGCTGTGACAACACAGGCTTGCCCCCTGGTCAGTTAGCATATCAAGTTAGCTCTTCACCTACTTAATCACTGATTTAAATAATGTGTTATTGTTCCACTAAGTACCGATCATGCGGACACATTCCCAACATCTGTTTGGGCACGTTTGCGTAATTACGCACGTTCAGGCGACCACAGTGCAACCACTGTATGTTCAAGCCACAACATCTCTTGCTGAGAGTAAATTACAATAATAGTGGGAACCAGCATGCAAGAAAATACATATTAAACAACCACTATGTACCTTTTTGTTTACATTTACAGTTTTAAGATAATACTCTGAGCATTTCCCTTCTTCTACTCCACTACATTTTAGAGGTTATTATTTGACGTTTTACTTTTTTTAACTTTATTTTTATTAAAGTTAGATCTCCCTTTTTAAACTGCAACATTAATGCAATACAAATGATAATCCAGGAGTGTATATCAAATAAAAATAAAAAGGTTCCATTTTTGTCTAAATCTGTTTTATCAAAGTGATAATTTACACTTAGGAAAGGAACCATTTATAGTTAAACTAACCTGAAAAAAAAAAGTATGTTTTGAAGCTACAAGCAAATGCAGATGCTTCCTAGTTGTCTGGCAAAGTTGTTCCTCAAATGTTGGTCTTGGATAAAGGAATAACAAGAGACTTGGAAAACCTAGGGACCTAAAAGGGACATAAGATACCAGCATGTGTAGTATGTCTTCAAATATTGTGTGAGGAAACAATGGCAGAAACTTAAAGTCTCTCTATAGATTTACCAATGCCTGAACTTTGTGCAGGACAGTCTGCAGATTATTCACATAAATTGAAAAGGGCATTACAGCAGTTATTTTAAATACAAACGGAAAGACATTGTTTTAAAAATGAAAAACACTTTATTACCTTTTGAAATTGCGGTACAGTATGACAATATCCATGGAAATTGTTTTCTTAATCTTTTTACTGGGTTGTAATTCACATAAACAAAACCCACATGTGATGCTCATTTGACTTAATGTGCTACTAGTATTTTGTTTGTCGAAATTGGTGGCAGCAGGAACATTTTAAAATCAACAGCCAAATAACCAAAGAGAAGTGAAAAGTTCAGCATCGTGCCCCATTGTACGCTCTTAGCATTAGATTTAACACTTTGCAATGCTGAACAAACAACACTTGAGTCAACAAAACATCAACTTCAAGTAAAATGTCACTGAAAAGTCATCGCTTAGTGCTGGAGAACTAGCTGTGTGTAACCCAGAGCACAAAATGGCTTTTTTTGGATGCTGTAATAAAAAACATTTGCTGCCCTTTTGATAGTCTTCTCATGAGCTTCTTATGTTTTACTAAATCTTGTATTTTAATCTTTCAAGCTTTGAGGCATTTGAGGCATTGGTCGTTAGACAAGTTCCTACCCTATTCCTTGAGAAACCTTCCTTCACGTCTTTTTCTGTTCACAGCCTTGACCCAAGATATCCTCTATCCATGAAAATAAGCCTCAATTCATTCGCTTAGTTGGTTATTTTGTTGTAACCGATCTGCATTTATATTAGTACATTATATGAAATTGCACCAAAGTATGTCATCAAAGAAGTAGCAATGCAGTCAGCCCTAAAAAGTTATACATCTATAAACAACATATAAGTGGTAAAATCTACATGTATTATAACAAACCTGTATAACAAAATGATTGGAGGACAATAGTTCTCTTGGCCTTATGCTTAATAGTACAGGGATCCATAGGTAATCAATAACAACGACTACAAACCAAAATATATAAATCTTCTGAATTCTTCATCTGAGTAAAATAAAGGATAGTAAAACCTGTACTCCTCCTATACAGGTTCTGCAGGAGGAGTGGTTTAAGAAGATTTGGGAGATTTCCTATACTAACATCACATGACCTAATGGTAATAAAAATGCAGGCATGTGGTATAGAGGCTCAATCCATTGAGTTGAAAATCAGGACACTAGTAAAGACAATAGTCCCTGTAAGGTCTCTCTCTGGCAGTGTTGGGTGTAACGCGTTACAAGAGTTACAGAGTTACAACGGAGTTACAGTAATGTAACCAGTGCATGACATTAAGGATTTTGGGAGATGGCCCTGTGGGCCATCTAAGCTAATTTACAGATGGCTCTGAGCCCAATAGAGATTGCCCTGAAAAATGCGCGGACGAAATGACGCACGGAAGGGTAATGTTGTGAATCGAGTGGCCCATGGTGGTGGTGGGGTTATGGTATGGGCAGGCGTATGTTATGGACGACGAACACAGGCCACTCGATTCACAACATTACCCTACATTACCCACAATACAATTTCAATTGTATTCTTCAGTTTCACTTGTTTGTGTTTGCTCGCTTGTATGCCCTGCATAGCTATAATAAATACTTAAGTTGTTGGTCAAGACACTTTCCATCTGTTGAAGGCAAATGCCTTCCCAGATGTAAAAAAGTAGAAAATATTACATGCAGTTATAACTGCCAAAACAAACATTATTTACGCTATTATGGCCCCTGTTAAAAATGTTTGTAATGTTATCTACTGTAAATTGGTCGAAGGAATGCCTCCTCATTCAGAAGCTGACCGAGCAGACCCGAGCAGCCGAGTGCATCCGCGAAGCACACACAATGGCGACAGAGTTCCCGTTAGCAAGCAAATCTAAATCTCTTCGGTCAAAATGTCCGGTCAAAATAATTTCCCTTTAGCGCAATACCGCTTCAGTTGCGCCACTTATGTGACAGACAAGAAGAGTATGTGACAGACAAGAGTAGTCAATTCTAATGTGTAACACTTAGTGTGGAGAAAGAGATCTGCTGCATGGGTTGATTGTGCGTTGATCTGTTGCTAATGCCTCGGGGTTCCGGTGGGCATGTAAAAAAATGCATAATGCTGCGCTATACTTTGTGGCCTCACCCAGTTGCATAGCGACACTTATTGTTTAGGTCACGGTGTATTTTAATAAGCAGGTAGTCATATCATTAGCTAAAACTAGCTGGATCTGATCGATATGGACATAAACGCGAGTGAAGTCTAATCTGACGGGAGAGAGAGATCAGCTGCTGCTGACGAGTCGATACGCAGCTCTGCATGATCACATGCAGCAGTGAGCGGAACAAAACGCACACTTCAGGTTAGAATATCACATGTAGATATTTTAATTACCTCTCAAACTACCTAAACTAGTTATAGATATGTTTAGTTTTACTGTCGGGTCACTCATTACTGGATCCGCGAGCTGCATGATACTGGTATAATAGATTGCCCGATCGGGCAACCAGCAGGTGAGGCTTCATGGCCCGAGCTAAATACTAGATGGCCCCGGAACGATAGACGCGGGCCCGGGCCATCGGGCAGTCCTTAATGTCGAGCCCTGGTAACACATTACTAATTACATTTGGGTAATATACTACCCGTTACAATTCTCAGTAATGAAGTTACAACTCATTTTAACCCGAAATGAAATGGTGTTTTGTTTTTTAAGAATTCACTAACATCGTTAACATAACAAATGGTGCCGGTAGATTAGTAAATCTGGTGTTTAACTTATTACCTAAAATATGTAATGTATTACATTTTGGAAGTAAGTTGCACAACACTGCTCTCTGGGCTATTTGAGGACGCCATCTTTCTACTATAGCCAGTTTGCACACTGGACAGCAAGCTGTTAGCACAGAAGCTCCGAAAGCTGAAAACCTCTCACGCTCCAGGGGCCCACTTTGGGACATTTAAAATGCCACAAAACATTACTTCGAAAGACAACCATGCAAATTCTGAACTCGGTCTTGAAGAATGGCCGTGTTCCCAGGCTGGAATAGACAGAGCTTTGGGCCTCGCTACTTTGCAGTGGAATCCAGGATCTTTGGGCAGAGCCATCCCCAGTGGGTCACGGTTACACATCCAGGCTTCACAGATTGAACGCGCAGAGCAGGTCCCAAAAACTGAGATTAAACTTTATCACCGTCGCTGGATCATGCTTTTTCTCTTCAGTTCCGTCTCAGCCAGCAATGCCTTCATGTGGCTTCAGTACGGCATTATAAGCAACATTTTCATGCGTTTCTACAACATTGACTCTTTTGCCATTGACTGGTTGGGCATGGTCTACCTGCTCACTTACATTCCTCTCATTCTGCCCGTCCTGTGGCTCCTGAAAAACAGGGGAATCCGGGATGTCATCCTGGTTGGGTCAGCTTTTAACTGCATTGGTGCTTGGATAAAAATTGGTAGTGCCAGTCCCAATATGTTCCTACTCACATTTTTAGGCCAGTTTATGTGCTCTGTAGGCACTGTGTTCATCCTTGGTATTCCCTCTTACCTCGCCTCAGTGTGGTTTGGAGAGAAAGAGGTTTCCACTGCTTGTGCCATAGGAGTCGTGGGAAACCAGGTTTGTCTGAATATATGATCTAAAGTCAGAGACCACATAGTGAGGCAGCTGTCAATAGATAATGCAGCTGCACTGGATTCCAGTGACACATAGGTCTTCTAGTGTCTTGGTGCGAGAGTCCAGAGAAAATTGAGTTAACTGTTTGCTGAAACCTCCACATTGTACTCAGTCTTCTTAGCTTTTGTAACGTTTAAACAATATTCTTGGCGGAATTAGTTAGACGACATAAATGTTCCTTCCAGACTAGGTGGTACTAAAAAAATATCATGGTTGTCTCATATTGTTTTCTGTTAGTTTGAAGGGGTATGTTTCAGTTGCCTTAAACATGAGCAACATTGATAACTCAAAAGAAAGTGTTTAACCGTTGATAATACTGACCCTATCTACTCTTAAAGATCAATTGGCTTAAGGTTATGAATTTACATTTATCATTATGTATATATATTTTTTTTTACCAATAATTCAAATAAAAGAAATATACATTTTAAGTGGTGTCAAACAAGCAAAAGTAACCTCTAAATACACATGTACCATTAAGTATGTATGAGATACAGAAATGAAGTAGCAATAATGGCAAAGAAAAGAAAAAAAAACTCTTGATTGATATTACCAAGCAAACAATAATGTGTGTTGACTTGTATGCACTGTCTTCTAGCTGGGTATTGCCATCGGGTTCCTTGTGCCTCCCATCCTGGTGCCGAATGTGGACGACATGGACGAGCTGGCTCACCACATCAGCGTGATGTTCTACATCACAGCAGCAGTTGCCACCTTACTCTTCATCCTCGTGGTCTGTGGTAAGAGTTGTCATGTAGCACATCAAGGGTCAGTCTGCATAACAAAAGTAGTGTTTTAAAAAAAACGTCCTATCTAGTGTTATCTCGCCATGCAGACAGTCATCTCCAAACTTTCTGCATGTCTAGACATTCCGGAGGTTTATCCATTTCTGTTAGCAAATATACACAAAATGGAATGTAGACTAAAATGCTATTTTAAAACCACATGTCTTACCGTGTAAGTAATGATTTTGTTGGTGGATAAATAGAAAGTCTAAATGGTCTAAGGTGACATCACCCCCGTCACTCATCTTGTCCTTTTCCCTCAGAAACACACACAGACTTTTTCATGTGTTTTGTTCGGGCCATTTCTCGCTCAGGCCGGTGGGATTTTCTCCTTCAGTGGCTCCACGTGATGATGGTTTTAATTTACAGCGGACTTCTACTCTGAAAAGAAGCATCATTCAGTAGACAAGAAAAGTGCTGACATGCATGTTTGAACCAACACAAAACCATCCCTTAAGGGGAGATTCATAAAAAAGAGCCTTTGTGTTACAAGTCAGGGAAGGTCAGGAGAAATGTTGAACAGGCAGAGAAGCACTTGAACAAACTGAACAGTATAGTTTGTTTAAAGCTATATTTGTCATAGAGAACTAGAGGATGTATCATCACAAAATGACACTTTCTCATAAAGGGAAGTGGCGTGACTTAATGTGACATACAGGATATGAGTTGGTAGGAAAAGGCTAAGCTGTAAGCATATTATCTGACATTTGTCCCACTCTCGATGAAGACATCACATGGTTTATTCTAATGACTAGAATCATAAGAAGGGAGTTTACAACCTGAAGGGATTAGTCAGAATAACACATGAGGGTGTAAATATGTATTACCCTTCTATAGAGAACATTAGGTTGAGTAAGAGAGGAGGCAAAAGTTGCATGAAAAAGCTGTTGTCCTGTGAGGATGGGGGAGGGCGGGGGTGCTCGTAAGCATTCTGCATTCAGAAACACAAAAGGATGCTTGTGAAGGCATTCCATAGTGGCACCATGTACAACATTCAGACTGACGGTCAGTGTTGTTGGTATAAAGATGAAGAAAGATATAGAGGAGAAATGCTGAGGACAACGTTTTACTGTCTTGAGAATAACCAGTGATTCTGTATAGGACGTACAGGCTTTCCTCCATGGGATTGATTCATTTGGGCAGTGGATGTGACTCTTGGTCATTCCAGCAAGATAAGTCACAGCTAGTTGGCTACAGTAGTTTCATAATATGACACATAAACTCACACACACATAGCACACCCTCACACATACATGCAAGATGCCATGTGTGAGGGCTGTCCTGCTGGCAGGGCCATCTGTAGCCCGGCAACAGGCCTGTGAGTCAGCAGGGCAGACAGCGGCCCAGGATTTAGAGATTTGAATAAACTGTGTGGAAAGAGAGGTGGATGAAGGAGTTTGGCTGCTGCCGTCCTCTGACCGAATCAACGGCCAAAGGTCACCACAGTGAAAGTGGAAATAGGCATGTGCAAATCATTTCATGTGCCGTTTTTAAAGAAACTTTCAATTTCTCTGAATTACAATGACACTGTTATAACAGAGCGGCTGTTTCAAAGACAAGGTTGGTTTCACAGGATTAGTTAGAGCAGGTTACTGAACACAAACCCTCAGGTCTGGTTTGCTGGGGGGGAGAAAATGCTGGCTCAGCTTCAGGAACAACAAAGACAGACATCTTTGTTTTCCCATAAAGCCTGCAGGCACGGGCTTTTACTTAAAAGCAAAGACAGACTGAACCAGGTCTCATCACAGTTGTCGCCCTTAAAGCGTCGGCCCTCACGAGGTCAGAGACTTGCTGACTGTTTCTTTAGTCTGTAAAATGCTCAGAGGAAGAAAGTGTGGGGGTGTGTTGAGCTTAGAGTGCGTGTGTGGACCTGCCCAGCTGTTTCTGAATGTGCATGCCCCCTCACATTTAGGAAGTGAGTAGCCCTCTTGCCTCATATAAAGAGCTTATAATACTGTCCAATAGTAACCTTTCGTTGGCTTAAAGCACGTAAACAATCACGTGAGAGAGTTCCCACTTTAGCAGCTTTAGAGTAGTACAAATATATTGAGAGAGATTTTCCGAGGGAAATTTGAAACATTGTACATTTCCAATGGACAAAGTTGTTCGCACAGATTCAGATAAATTGGCTGTGTACTCCCAAACATTCCTAAACTATGCAACATTCACAGCCATAGGAAAGGTTTAATTGTTGCTGTATCATAATAAACATTATATCATAATGTGCTTCTGTGGATACTCCTTGTTGTGGGTACCATATAATGATATGCTCTGTAGGTTTGAGAAAATTAATTAGGACAACATGGAAGTAAGAAATGGCCAACACACTGCAAAAACCTTACATTTTAATATATGAATCATGTTTGACATTAATAGACTAGAACATAGAATATATGTTATATGACATCTATGAATTACAGTATGTGTTCTTGACTGACTCTCCCAGTTCATCTGTGACCTGCATTGTAATCTGTGTGTCTGAGAGTCCGCTGCTCTTCTCTGTGTTCACTGTGATTAATATTGATTGATATGTTGGTCTCTCCATGTGTCAGTCTTCCAGGAGCGACCTCCACTTCCTCCGACTCAGGCCCAGGCCACAGCTCGCAGCATCCCCTCTGGGCAGTACTCATACACAGCCTCGGTCCTCAGGCTGCTCCGCAACCGGCCCTTCATCCTCCTCATCATCACTTATGGTCAGTATAAAACAAGAAAAACAACCACAGGCAGGGCTTTGGTTTTTCTTTGTATTTGTTTAACTGAAAAATGAGTCATTGATTTTGTCAGTACAATCTCTCACTGTAATCATTTAACAACTGTTTTCTATGGCCACTTGTTGTGAACAGTACCTCGACCTTTTGAATCAATATAGCAAAGTTGTTAGCAAACACATTACACACCCAGCAATTAAAGATAAACATAATCATGTCATTGGAGTAAAGTTCATCTGATGACTGTCAGTCCAATTTCTACTCTACTCCCTTTTAGATCTGTTTTGGTCTCCACCATCTTCAATTGGAAATATCTGTATCTTCAGCTGCTAATAAGTTACTTTAATAAACATCTCCAGTTCAATTGACCAATCCAACTGAAATCTGCTACCAGATTCAGGTATTCCCCGGACACATCACCATGCCTACCCTGCCCCACGTGGGTTCCTAAATCTGCTTATAATTGTTCGGAGACCACTTCCTGATTGTAAAACAAGCCCTGACATTATATACTTTTAAACCAGGTTTATCTTTTCGTGTGTCATAAAAATGAACACATCCTCAGATAATCACAGACATGATATTTATTGTGCCCCATAGAAGTTCAAAGTTTGGTTTAAGTCTGACAATGTTTAACCTAAGATAAAACTAACAATATTTCCTTTCCTGTCCGTCAAATAAGTAAATCTCGTCTAGTCACAGCAAGAACGTCCAACAGCTGCGAGCAGTTTATGGGAACCTTTGACCTCACCATGTTATTTCCACAGTTCATGCGACTATTATTAGTGTCTCTGTTGTCCTTTTGACTCTTTGCATATCACCTTTAGTCACATGGTCTCAGATCTACCTGAGATTGTCACACTCTGTTCTGCGGGCCACCTGTCCCTGTCTGTTACACTGAGCTGTGATCCTAAATAAATAGTTATATTTACATGAAAGGCTTATTTACACAGATCTATTTGCAAATAGTATAGAAATATATATAATCACTGTTTCCTTTTTTAAATGTTAATAGAGTTTATAATCATTCCCTCAACAATTTGCATCCAAAATGGTTAATTACTGAAGTGGTTTTGTTTGGGTTTATGTTCTTCCTGAGCATGTCAGAACTACTACTAAAACTTTTGTTCATGAAAAAACACTCGACACGCAGACTTGTCCATTTATAGAAATCCTTGGCTTGGCTCTCTGTTTTGGAAACCAGCCTGATTAGGTTCATTGGACACAACTGCCAACCCTTCGACTGGTCACATTCAACTCCTTTATAGTTGCTTAAGGAAGTTAGCTCAATGTTCACCTTTTTAGGTTTCATAAAAAATGTTTTTGTTTCATTTTTTGACATTATTTCTCTAAAACAGGTTTGAATGTGGGATGTTTCTATGCTGTCGGCACCCTGCTGAACCGCATTATCATTGAGCATTACCCTGTAAGTTCCGCCTGCTGTGTCTGGTCTTCCCCCAAACTATTTTTACACTTCCCATAGTTTGATATGTCAGGATATGAAAAGCTGAATCATTTTGTATTGAAAGTACTCTTAACACATTGGCATCAACTGTAACATTTTAATACCCAGACATAAAGCAGCACAGCATGATTGCAAAAGTTTTACTCTTAAGTTTGAATATATCATTTCCTGTAGAGATTGTTGTAATGTCCTAATTATATTTCACTTTCATAAAGAGGAAGTAGGCTTTTCTCTATTTAAAGTATATCAACAGGCTGCTGTTATAAGATATGTATAGACTAGAAGGATGTTGCCTGCTGACCTGTTTAATTCAGTAGTAAGAGTGTCGATGAGGATTGACACCAGATGAATGTAGAAAGAAACTCCAAGTCCCCTTAACTCCCTTGTAATGATCTCTGCCTCACTTTTCCTTTGGTATGTAAGGTCACTAATCTATGTCCTATCTTGCTTGACCTTGTAGGGAGAAGAGGTGAATGCTGGGAGAATTGGTCTAACCATTGTCATTGCGGGGATGGTTGGCTCCCTGATTTGTGGCATTTGGTTGGACAAAACCAAAACCTACAAGTAAGGCGAAAAAAAAGAAAGTAAAATGACAGTTTGTTCCAAGTGTTGGGAATGAAATAGAACATTAGCCAGCCTTTTTTTCTGTTCTGTTTATTTTCATTCCGCTTCTCATCTCACTGTAGTTCTTGTTTAGTGTTTATGTGTTGCTCTGTGTCTATTTATCCAGGTGCTGCATGCTGCTCTCACAGTCATATTAAGGACCCCATGGGCCTTTTGGCTGTGTAGTGACAGCAGTGTCCTCCCTGTGGGGGGTTACAGTCGGCCCCCCGCTGTTTGAGAGATTTGTTTTGCATATGGGGGAAATGTTAGTGTGTTTGCGTCACACACGCAGGCTCTCTTTCAGTCCCAACTGTCTTCCCTTGCCTTATCTCTCATACATATTTTGATTATAATGTAGTTGCCCATTCTTTGTTGCAGTGCATCTGTTAATTTGCACATTTTTACTAATATAATATATATTTTGGGATCCTAAAACGCACCTCTTATTGAGTTGTTAAATATTTGATATTAATAAGATAGTTTTTTCTATCAAAGGCAGTTTTTTTTTATAAATGTATGTTGTTGTTTCTTTAATTAACCATTATATTTTTATATATTTGATTACATTTGACTGCAGTTTTGTTAATCTTTTCCTCACTGTGACCAATACTTATTTGAAGGTATATCTACTTGTATTTTGGTGACAGTTGCACATTTATTCGTATATTCTTTCTATGCATGTGTCATAGCTCAACATTAAGTAGTAATAATCGCATGATTTTTTAAGATTCCCTATGGATCCTGGGGCACATGCACCAAAAACAAACAAAACAACCCATTCAAAACTGCTCCAAAGCTCTACTAGCGGTCAAAAACTCTTAACTTTGATGTTACATTACACTGCTTTTTAAAATCTGAATAATTGTTTTCATCCCTTGAGAAGCTACAATGGTCTACTACTACACCCACTTTAAAGTAACGAGTTCACACAAACACATCAATAATGCAGCAGCACTACTAAAATGTATAATTATAATGATGATTATCGTGTTCAAGGTTGTTCATTTGTTTCTGTGTTTTTCCAGACAGACAACCCTTGCTGTGTACTTCATGTCTCTGGTGGGGATGATCGTCTTTGCTGCCACACTCAGTCTGGGACACCTCTGGGTGGTCTTCATCACTGCTGGAGCGCTCGGGTATTCTTTTGTTTTTGAGTACAGTTTATTTTTGCTAAACACTTAATTGGTTAAGTCAAAGGTTAAAACAACTTGAAATGATATTACATTACATGTCACTTGTTAGACGCTTTTATCAAAAGCGACTTACATACTCAATACTGTGGGCAATCCCCACAGGAGCAATTTGGGGTGAAGTGTCTCAGGGATACAACGACATGCTGACTGCAGTGGGGTTTGAACCTGTGACCTCCTGATCCGAACACAAACGCACAACCCACTGCACCACACGCCTCCCTTATATGAACAAATAATTATATAAATCAAAATACCTGAAAACTTGTTCAACCCAATTTGTGGTAACTATTATTTTCTGACATTTGCAACAATAATTTACAGCCGTGTTTATTCAGAAGTCAACTTTAGATTGATAAGCATTTGCAAATCCACCCACAGTAGGATCTAGGTTCAAATGTTCCTCTGTACAAACAGACACTGTACTCCAAATCAGGACATAGAGCAGAGGTGATCCTGTTCCAGGAAAATGCAAACGTATTGATACAGGCTACAGTTGAGCTGAATGATCCTGAATAGTTAGATTATATTACTTTACTGCATCATGATAATTCCATTTGTATTAAAACTGCATTATAGGGAGTCCTAGAACATGGTTAATATCCAAAACTAACAAAAATGGGACCAAAACATTTCAAACAGTACTAATATAATCAGAATCAAGTTTATTGCAACACATACAAGGAATTTGCTTTGGTATCTGGTGGTAATCTAAAAAAAGAAGTTGCAAAGTAGGTAAAAATACTCAGGTGGTGTTCAAGATGGTCTCATATTTTAAATATCACAGTAACAGTGCTTTAAAATAAAGCTTTTAGAGCCACCATGAATTATATCTTCACAATATATATCTTGTTTTTGTAAATAATACCAGATATCGTAGCCAGCAGTACTTTTACATCCAGTTTTGACCTTTCTGTGTATGGTGTGAAAACATCACACCTCTTCAGCAGCACAGATTGACCCTCCAGCTTGAGCTCGCCCTCTCTGTGGAGGCACGCGTACATCATATACATACCATACGTGCGCACATAGTGTACATGCCAGCCAGTGGACCTGATTAATATGACTCAGGCTGACAGGTCAAATAACTCACTGAGTGCTTAATTCGTCAATGGAGATTAAATTAGCTCAAGCTAGCTTTAAATTCCTGCTTGAATTCCTGGTATTCTATTGATCAAATTAACTTTTCTTTTACCTAGTGTGTACAACCATTGTCCCTAATATTTTAACCCATCTAATAATTTAAAATGTACTACAGATTTGTATGTACTTTAAGCCTTTCCCTAAACATACTAGTTTCAATTGTCCTCGTCTCAGTGGAAGAACAACATGGTTCTAGTACCTGTCACAACCTGTAAAACATCACCACGTCAAAAACAAGGGTGTTTAAATTTCTTAATAAAGAGGGAGGTGTGTTTCTGCATTACCCATAAATACATTATCCAAGCTGTATAATTGGAATTAAGGTCAAATAAATGGCAGAATTAATCATATTTAAGCTAGAATCAAATCAACCTTTGATTCTCTTTGTTAACTGTATGTCTCTATGCTTCTCTCTCTGTGTGTGTGTGTGTGTGTGTGTGTCTGTGTGTGCGCGCGCAGATTCTTCATGACAGGCTACCTGCCACTGGGCTTTGAGTTTGCGGTCGAGCTGACGTTCCCAGAGTGTGAAGGAACCTCATCCGGACTGCTCAACTGTTCAGCACAGGTACGATACAACTTTATTGTCAGATCAAGTGTAACATTTTCTCGCATCACAGCAGCTCCTTTCACAACATCAGCAAGGTCAAATATTAAGGACAAGAAACAAGGAAACAAGACATTTAATATAACATCACGATCACTGAAGATCACATTTGATCAGGGATTTAACTCTGTATTAAATTGGAGGAATGACTGGTGCACAAAAGAATGCTTCAGTCCAGGTGTGGTTTAGAATAGAATAAATAATAGATCAGCAAAGCCCAAAGAGATAGCGTGAGAACATCTGCTTATGTTGTTCCTAGTTGTGCAAAAAGAAAGTGAGTAAGTTGCTTCTTTTCCATAAGTGAAAAATCAGGTCCGCTCCTAAATGATATGATTTCTTCCTTGGCCCATGCTACACATGTCCCCCAGGTTTCATGAAAACTAGCCAGTATTTTTTCATTATCCTGCTGACAAACAGAGAAACAAACCAAACTGAAAACATACCCTCTTGGAATTTTTCTACTATCCTGATTTGACCTTGGATTCGAAAGTATGCAGAGGAGTTAGGTCTTTGCAGACCTTGAAACTGTTCCATCATATGTGCAACAAACAACAGGCTTGCAAACTATGTATGTACTACTATGTGAAAAACTTACAAAATGTTGCTGTGTGCTAGTTGTTTTTTTGCCATTTGATATCAATACCACTAGACCTTTGTTTACCACTAAGCATTTGTTCAGCATCTGTTATGGTTGTGAGGGTGCTTGTGTGCATGTTAGCACCCACGTTATTTCTTACTCCTACATGTTTTGCACGCCCAGGTGTTCGGCATTATCTTCACCATCAGCCAGGGGAAGATCATCGACAGATTCGGCACTCTGGCAGGAAACATCTTCCTCTGTGTTTTTCTTCTAATCGGCACAGTAATGACGGGTAAGACCTTTCTGACTGTGAAACATATGCTGTGTGGAGTCAAAGCAAAGTACATATTTTATGTCACACACAGCAATGCTAGGAATGTATTTGTTTGTTACTGTTTTTGTTGAATCCTAAGAATATAAAGGATGGTTACTGGGTTTTTTGGAAGATCTGTTTAAGGGTTAAAAGTTAATATCCACATACAGTAGAACAGAAAAGCAAATGTGTTTTTATTATTGCTTACACTCACAAAAAATATTACTTGCAAGAATGTTAGTTGAAGCTCCTCCTGGTTTATAGTACCTTTTCCTTTACTTAGAACGAGTTACATAAAACAGAGGGTAAATACTTAGGTGTTACCACTGGTATCTTGTTCTTCGCTCAGTCCTATACTCAAAGTATATGTTTTTAATTAAGTAAAAGCCAGAGCAGATACAAAAGTCAGAGGATGGAACCGTAAACATGTTGTTGTTCATTGACTAAGTCAGGGGTTCCCAAACTTTGCCATGCCAAGGACCCCCATATAGCATTATCCTCTGGCGGGGACCCCCCTGTTGCAATTTTCTTTTAAAGGATGAGTACATTCTGATGGAAAATATGACTAATTAATCATACAGCTTAATACATTTTCTTAATGTATATTTGTATTAATAATTAATAATCAGTTATTCTTCTAAACATTTTTTTTATCTTTTGTTTGTCATTCATTACATTCATTGTTTGTTCTGTTATAAACATTCTTAACACAATATTAAACAATAATATTAACAGTAAACATATTTTTAAAGCATTTTTAAAGTGATTTCTGTCTTTATAACATTATATAATTTTGAACAGTAATATGAACAATTAACATATATTTGTAGCATTTTTGAAAGCTACTTATGCCTTAATAACATTATAATACAGTAATATTAACAATTAACATATTTATATTCATATTTATAAACAACAATATTTGCTACATCCGTGCTCTCATCCAGCTGCAGAGCGAAATTTTCACTAGCTCTCACTTGAGCTGAGCAGATACTCAATTTCACTCTCAGTAGCGGCAGCTCGATTCTGATTGGCTTGAAGGGCGGTCGTGTGATTTCATAACAATAAAATAAAATAAAATATTAATACAAATAAAATATTAAAAGATTGGCATCAAAGGACACATATATTGATAGATATGCAGTAATTAATAACATCTACAAAAAAAAAAATGTAACTTTAAAAAAAGAAAGAAATTCCCCTTTCCCTCAAACTTTGCGTGACCCCCCTGGTGCCCCCTGGTGGCCCCCCGGGGGGTCGGGGCCCCCACTTTGAAAAACACTGGACTAAGTAATGGAAAACTCTTACTCTGAAGGTCATTAACATACAGTGTGAAACGCTGCACATGCACACTGAAATACATACAAACGGTTGCAGCTTATTTTCAGGTGTTAAATGTGAGACTTCATGCTTCAGTGAAAACAAGGCCATTTTTTTTTTTGAAGGGCTAATTGAGGGCCAATGTAGAACTTGTGCTCAATGCGAAGGCTACTGAAGCGCTTACAATGTTGCACACTAGAAAAATACTGGAAGACTATTTAATGAGACCTTTCTGCTATCATATAGTTAATCATTTTAATTTTCCCAGCATTGCAGACATGAGTAGACTACTTGTTGTGTCATCACACAAGAAAAGGAACATATTTATGAACTGAAATCCCATTTTGTGATATACTGTAGAGTAGACTCGCGACATTTAATGTTATTAAGAGCTTTATAGCTGATCAATTTGGGAAAAATTCTCCTTAAGTAAAAATTGAGGATGATGATTATGTTGCAACCTTTTCCATCGTTTTGCAATGCAAAGTGTGAGGCTAAGTTAGGATGCATGACTAGTCATACTGCATTTTTATTCTTGCAAAATATAAACCTGAAAAGAGCCCCCTACGGGATGCTTACTTGTATTACATCATGTCCTTCAACTACACTTGTTGTTCTATAATGACCTCATACAGGCTTAACTTGTTATGTTTCTTTTTCTCTGCAGGCCTAATCAAGTCTGATCTGCGGAGACAAAAGGCAAACATGTTGGCAAAAGCAGCAGTAAGTGTTAAAGATATAAAAAAAGGTGTTGGGGATATAATGTAGTGGAGCAATGGTGGTTGTAATTATGGTTTGGTATAATCCTTTTTTTTCATGGAAGATGTTTTGACAGTAGAAGCACAGACATAAAGAACAAAATGAAGTCAAAAATATCTGCCGTGAAAAAAAGACCTATGTGTTATTTGTTTGCTTGTCATAGGTTTGCATGGAAGGCATGCGGTCAAAAGTCACATGTGTGTCTTGTGTTGCTCCAGAAATAACTAACCTGTGTCTGTCTACCTTTGTCTTGGCCTGCATTTTTGTGTCTGTACAAATATTTTGTTACGTGATTACTGTCTCTCTACGGCACTATGTCTGTCATAAATCATGTCTTTTTTCTGTTTCACCTCGATGTTACCGGCCAACCTCTGGTAGCATTGCTTTGAGTATGTTGTTTGGGAAATAACCTGATTTAAAAAAAGACAAACAAGGTTAAAAAAAACGACAGATTACCTCCAATAAAACAAGAGCAACATTTTGAGAATGTTTGAATTCAACCAAAGCAATGCTACTCTAAGGAGGTGACAGGACTACAGAGAAAATCATTGTTGATGTCTGAGTGAGTCTATAAGCTCCAAGGTGAAGTTACTGGTGACAGGAAATAAGTCAAATTCCTCACAAATGATGCAAACAAGTAATGAACAGAAAAAGCTAAACATGTTATTGGAAATTCAATTGATGGTGGAGAGCCACATGAGAAAATCGATACAACGCTCATAACTTTTAAATACAAGGCTGAAGCCAGGGGACGATTAGCTTAGCAAAGCACAAAGACAGGAAACAGGCTGATCTTGGAACAAAACCTACTAAACAACTACGTAACCAATTATAGCTTGTTTGTTAAATCAGTACAACAATTCAACATTTTATGTTGGTTTACATGCCAAAAATATGTTCTGTCTAGAAGCTGAACTAAGCAAAGTTAGATTAAGCAAAGCTAAGCTAATCAAAGCTAAAGCTAAGTTAAGCTAAGTGTCTTACAGTTAATAGACAGATATGTGAACGTGATATCTCCTGACTTAAAAGTTAGTGAACAATTACTTTGTACTAATACCTTAGCATGTTCAATACCTCTCAGGCTTCAGCTATACAAAAATGGAAGCATTGTTACAAACTCAATCAGTAGTTGGGGAAAAGCAAGAATTGACTGGGGTTAATGACAAAACTGCCTGATGGATCAGATCGTGTCGCAGAAACTTCATCCTGGACTGAAGACTCACTCCTCTATAAACTCTGAATAAGAAGTGATTAGTAGCTGTTGTTTTAGGCGGCGAAGCAGATGTCAGGACAAGACTACGGAACCACAACGCTAATCTCCAATCCACTGACCCCCCCTTCACAAGCCTGATCAATGTACCTTTCTGCTTCCACAAAAATATCTTCTCAAATCTTAGCTCGACATGCAGATGCACTAAGGTAGGAGCTCAGCAATCAGCACACACTGCCGGAAATCACAATCCTACTGCACACCCTTCACCTGTTCACCCTGCTCGTTCTGTCCCTTTGTTTCCAACTACTCTAAATCAAATTCACAATTTCATGTAAATATGAAACCTTTTATTTTCTCACTAATCCTGTTCTAGATTATTATATTCAATGATACCAAGGAGACATGCATGTCCATACAAAACAATTTGAGCTAATTTATGATAGCTTTGTTAATGAAACTATGGCCTTATTTATTTATGTGTGATTTTATTACGTATTCATATACAGGCGTTCTTCTGAAAGACATGTTGGCATGTAAAGCACAGGTTTTTAATTATTTAATTATTAGTGGCTGAATTCCACTTGGCTGCTTCACCTGGGGTTTCTGGGGCAGACAGAGTGAGATGTGTTCTCATGCAGGGGGTAGAAAATAAATGGTAGGGATTAAAAGCTTATGAGAAAATCAACAAGTGAAGTTGTTTTTGTGCCTTTAAAACTCTCTGAGAAGGAAATCTCTCGGCTAGCTCAGATTTGTAGGATTAACTCCAGTGAGCCAGTCAGTGATATATTTTATAAAGTGTACGGATGGCTTTCACTGAAACTACAAGAAACAATGCACTTTTACTGTGTGTGTAAAGCCATTCCATGAAGACAATGCAATGTTATTACATTAATGTTAATATCCCGTGCTTGCTACGACATGCCAAACTGTCTAATGTGACAAGGGCCAATTTATGTGCTTTTGTTTGTCCATTTGTGTGTTTTTCATCTGGCATGTTTTCTGTAACTTGCGCTGTTTTTCATCAAGATCTTTCAATTAAAACATAGTTCAAATACACAGAAGCAATCCTATTTCTGAAGCTAACGAAGCAGCTTACATTGTTTTGTTCTTTGTTAAGAGTGTATCTTTCAAATGTAAGTCATTTTGCACCCATTCCGACCTAAAGGGATAGTTCACCCCTAAATAAAACAAAACAAGTTATTCTTTTCTAACTTTAGTAATTGTTGTATCTCCTGACCCAGTTACTTAGGATAATGTGCAGAACTTGTTGTGAGTAGTTTATTTTACGATATCACCGTACAGAAGGAACTCGAATATATGAGATTCTTTCTGAGAGCTAAGATTACATTTCAGCAGAGAAGGACGCCATTAATGTTTACATTTCGCTCTGTCACATGGTTTTTCCCGTGAGCAGATTCACGCTTTCTTCACAGTGATTCATTTGGAGGTGTAGTCCAGCAGAAATATATGAAATGTATTTTGGTGCTTGGAGAACCAACGCTCGGTGCCATTACATTCTAGATAAAATGTCTCCAAAAATCAAACTCACATCAAGACAATCTAAATAAATAACAGTTGTCTTTGTTTAGGGGTGAACTTCCCTTACCTACCTAAAATCTACAGAGAAAAACAACAACTTCTGTGTTGAGTCCATAACTCTGTTGACTTGTTGTTTTGATTGATAGGGACCTTCCGACTATCCCAATGGGAGCGTGGCTGCATCGCCTATCATCGAAGAAGCTAAGCTTTAGAGGCCACACACACACACACACACACACACACACACACACACACACACACACACACACACCTAAAGTAAAAGCCTTGAAAATGACCATGATCTCCTTTCCTGTTACAGTGTAACATACTGAGATATATCAACTCTATTAGGAAGTATTGAATCCCACTTCCCTTCTAAGAAGAGTTAGATGTACATTGTACAATGTTGTATTAACTATTTATAAAAAAAAAAAATCTGAATTATATTGGATATTTAATGCTCAATTTCAGCATATAAAATCCACTGTTATTGTTATTTTTAATTGTTACTTGAATTCTCTCACTACATCTGCAAGAAAAATCTGTGACTTGTTTGTTTGTGCCTTGACAATTTTACCTGTCACTATTTTAAAAGGTGTACACTTGATTGTGTATAGGTTGTATAGGTAAATGTTCTATAAAGAAGTGACTAATTTCATTATTGCATAAACAATTAATCATGTAAATACAGTGTCCAGGTATTCATTAGTGATGTTGATAGAATGTATTTATGATTAAATAATTCACACAGTCCAAAGTGAGGGATAACATTCATGACAGATATTATTTGTAAAACCATGCATGTTTACTTATTTCATGTGAAATAAAACTGTTTTATAAAATTATTTTTTGTCATTTGGTGTCATGCTTTGTGTCACATTGTATAGATGTCAAGGTGAGACAACCTGACTGAAAAACACAGAAACACACTGCAGCATTCTTCTCTAATAGATTTGGTGAATACAAAATGAGTTGTTTAGGAGGAACATCTTACTCTTGAACAGTGTTTACATTGATATTTACAAAATAAAAGGCTATTATGATAAAGGATAGGTACTGTATCTATAAAATCTGTAAAATAACGGTGAATGGTACCAAAGTACATTCAAGTACATTGATGTAATTGTAGTTATGTTTTAGCAAGTACTTCTAATCAACTTCATCTCCAAGGAAAATAATGTTGTCATTAACTTTATTTGACAGCTGCATTTACCATTCACCATTGAAAATAGGATGTTAAAGTGTAAAAGAACACAGGATTCAATACAACATCCCTTACAATTTAGATGTGTATACGTTCTTGGGAGTTACATTAAAGGCTGAAATGTCCCTCTAAGTGTTTCTTCTTTCTTTCCCCACTTATTATGTTGTGACCCCTCTGAAATTATCTTTTCAACTTGGGAGGGAGGGGCCCAACCCTTATACATTCTATAGGAGGGGCCCAACCCTTATACAGTTTATAGGCCTTACCCAGTTTGGCAACCTCTGACCTACATTTGATACAGTAAAGTCTTTATAAGGGTTGAATTAGCAAATTTCCTTTACTTAATTAACTTATCAGGGCTCAATGCTAACTTTTAAAAGTGAGGCATCAGCTTTTGGTTGCCAAAACTGAAAATACGGTTGCCATTTTTAGTCACCTTATATTTTAAATAATTAAGATACTATACAGTTATACATTTCATTTCATTTTTATTTCATTTGTATTTGTCCCGCTCATGGTACGCAAAACCAAATGTACAATAATTGCCACAAAACATGACTACCATTGAGCGAAAAGGAGCAGGGAGAAGAATAAAATCTTATGTGACCTGCCCCTTTCTAAAAAAAACAAAAATAAATACAAATAGATGGTCTGCCCTTCATAATAATAAAAAAAAATTCTCACAGCCAAACATAACAGTATCTTAGGATACTAAGAGAAACACACAACAAAAAATACTTATTTCCCACTTGACGGTTAACGGAAAGAAACAAAACAAGACCAAAACATCACATATATAAGGAAAAGAGAAAGAAAAGTGCAACACCCTCATCTGAGTCCTACTGGAGAAGAAGGTGGAAAGCGACGCATGATGATAATAATAACAATAACAACAATGGCAATGGGACCAGCAAATACAGAGGAGACATCACATCAAAGACATCAAAAACATGAAGGACCAGAGTACATAGACTTATTCACATTCTGCTTCATATAGTCCCATCTTTCCTAATTTATACAACTTATTTAACTGATAAATACAAATACAATTCTTTAGATCCTTTTGTTGAGAATTCCACAATTGTACACCAACCACCGAAATACACATTTGTTTAAGAGTAGTCCTTCCATATGGATGCTTACAATTTAATTTCCTTCTGTGTTCTTCCTTGTCTGATCCAAAAACAAACAACTGTTGTAAATATGCTGGTAACATTCTGCTTTTTGCCCTGAGCATTACTGATGTCTGCAGCTCAGCTATGTCTTTGAGTTTCAAGAGTCCTGACTTCAAAACCAGTCTGTTGGTGTGTTCTCTTGAGTCAGCTTTATGAATTATTCGTACTGCCCTTTTCTGTAATATTGACAATGGCTTTATGTTGCTCATATACGTGTTGCCCCACACTTCTATACAATAAATGAAAAATGGCAAAATGAGTGAACAGTACAACATCCTCAATGCCTTGTAATCTAGCAAATACTTTGCCTTNTCGAAGCATCATATGGGGGGTCTGGTGGCAGTGACACTGTGTACAAATTTGACAGTCGAGCCCTGACTCAAAACTTCTACCTGTGTGTTTTTTAAGAATTTTTTCTGGTTAAGAAGTGTCACACCGAGTGTGTTGTTGTTGTTGTTGGGGTCTCGGTGGTGAACGTGGTCCCATTTGTTACATACATTTACAGTCAATTGAAGGTTTCAATACGCTTGTACATTCGTTCGTATTTATGTGCAACAACTGCAATGAAACTTAGCACGCCCATTCGATTCGGTCTCTATAATTTACTTTGAAACTAGTTATATATATTACAACACAAAAAATCGCAATCGACCACTAAAACCTGGATATGTTTGAGTTAGCCGGTTGGCCTAATCCAAAACATACGCGCTCTCGCTAAACGGTCCTACGACGCGGGTTATCAAGTGGATCGCTCAAGCCAGCCGTGCCCTATCTAGTTAGGTGCGCGTTCACATGAAAGGGGTGGTATTTGGAGCATTCGACCAATCACAAACATGGAGAAGCGTACTGACAGCGCAGCGTCATACTTCCTGAATGAAAAGTAAACTATAATATTAGACAAATATATGGAGACATTAAACTTTAAACATCCATTACTTAAACACTTTATCCAGGATAAAAGCCACATAGTTGCACCTTCTTTCCGTCTTTCCTGCAACGGCAGCTTTTCTGTATTTCCTTTCTCCTGTAATATGACTAGATCGCTTTAAACTCCGCACACTGAGCTCTGATTGGTCAGCAGGCAGTGCTTTCACTGAGTTGAGCTCTTAGCCTGCTCCGGGGCAGGTTAGCCGCACAGCATAAGTTAAAAAGAGAAACAGCTTCGTAGGACCGGAAACCCCGAGTTTTCCCTGAAGTTAGCCGGCTAAGCGAAAATCCTGCTTCGTAGTATACCCCCCTGGTGTCTTGCCTGTTGCATTCACTGAACACAGGAAATTACAATCCTCCCGTCCTCTCTAGAGTCATGATGAGGTTCAGGTAAAGCACAGTTAATGTATTATATTATTGAGGGAGAATTGTCCGGGGCTAAAGAAAAAACAGGGGGTTGGCTCCACTAGCACCCCCGTCCCCGTCGACGCTAGCGAAACATAGGGCCTCATCATATAACTTTGCGTGGGGCTTCATGTTGGCCAGGGACGGCCCTCATAGTACAGGTTAGCTCTGACTGTTAGCGAGGCTTGCTGAAGACGAGATTACGTCCAAAACACGTCAGGCATTGTTTCTGATAGCAACTTTCTGTGGGTCCGCCGCCGATTTGATGTCATATCTGCAGCAAATCTGTATCCCCTCGTTGTACCCCCGTTTTTAAAAGATTTGGGTACGGAGGAAAAGAGCAGGGGTTTTATTTTTCTGACGCTGCGTGAGTTCCCTGACACACCGGCGACACATATTTATAAAAGACATACAAAAGTGCATTTTGCATGATAGGTCCCCTTTAAAAGAAATCATAACGGATTAAGGTTAATCATTTTTGTTCCTCTGCATAGTTTATAAAGTAAAACAAGTAGCATTTACCTATTTATCACTTAATGCGCCGCCCGCCGAGCACGCTAAGTGACGCAAATCAAGCACACTACGGCGTTGTGACAAACAGCATTCTGGGTGTGGTTATATGCTAAAATGCTAATTTTCAACGTGATGGGGTCCCCACCCAGTTAATCAGGAACTTTTACCTTCAGTGTGTGTGAGGACTGTCTGCTGTTGCTAAGCCTCATAAACTCAACGTGTTTTTAAAACTAAAGGTGGAACAGAGAGGCCATGTGGACGGATTACATTATGTAAAGATGAATCATCAGAGAAACTCAAATCTGGAGCAGATTGGGGGGGAGGAAGTATTGGTGCATGAAGATCAAGATGCTTTAACGAGGTGAGGACAACACACGAGTTATCTGTGTTGTGTTTGTTTATTTTTTCCTGCTTTAGCTATTGAGGCTATAGTGAGAAAAGCTCTATCCAATAGAGTCTATTGGATAAATAATTACAGGAATTGAAATACCTCTTTTGGCCACAAGGTGGTAGCATTGTTCTACATAACATAATTTACTTCTGTTATAATCAATAAGGCCCAGCATGAATCAGGATAGGGGCAAAGGAGGCACAAATCATAATCAAATTCCATTGTTAATATCATTTGTGGTCTCATGTTTTCATTCAACCAACCTTAGAATTCAGTACCTGCTAATAAGTGCCGGTTAGAATACATGACTACATTAAGCTTCCTATTGGCACAGAGATACAGTGGCCTCTGAGCAGCCCTGATATGAGATCATCCTGACTTTTGGCCAGTACTCTGAGAGCAGCTCCCATTTGTCTGATTCTCTGATGATCTCATTGTTCTCCACTGATGACCGATCCTTGGCATAGATTGGTTGTTGTAAAGTTCCTGTCATGACTTTTTCTGGTACTACAGCTTCATTTGCACGTGGATCAGTGAAAATACCATCCATTAAAACAAAATCCAGCTGTGATGATGGCATAACTGTAGCACTCTCTGCAATCATATACTGTATACCTCACTTCATTCTAACAAATGAGTTCTACAGCAGTTGTGAATTGAATGCTACTTTTATTATTTTACACTTAAGTTCTGACAAGAAGAAAGATGCAACTGAATAGTTTTTGATTGTATCGGGAAGGCATGAGCTGACATCATACCAATGCACAGGCTTTTACTGTTTCAACACTGTTTAAACAGCATGCCACACTGCAGAGGTTCTTTCTTTTTATGACATTAATTAATGTGGATTATATGAACTGTAAACAGTAAGGTCACAGAAGGACGAGCAGGGGGGGAGGGGAGCTTGGCCTCAATGGGGAATCTCCTGCCCACCCACATGTAGAGGTGGATATTTGAATAAGACTCCTTGAATGCATTTGGCATTTTAGCACCTGGAAGAAGTTATTGTAAAGTGCGACAGTGAGATTACTTGGTTCTTATGTACAGCGTGTGTTCGTTGACAGTTCTTTGTCAAGTTCTTTGCTTCATTTGTTTGCTTTGAAACCAGAAGGAAGGTCCCAAAATAGTTTTAACTTATTATAGGTCACTTTGAGAAAAACTTGTATTTCAAAACCACACATTTTCGTCTCTACACTTCTGTTTGTGTACAGATTAAACAGTCTCTACTAT